TATGAAAGACATATGAAAGTGATCAGTTGTCAATTGTTGACACACGTCTGCATATAGTGCAAAACAATATTATAAACATTATAAACAGTCATATATATAGGTCCAAAACTTACCTTGATTGGTGTGTATTGCGTTTCAGTTTTTAGTGTGCCTTTGTTTTTCTGGCAAACTGTACACTGTGACACCTGTGACAACATACAGAATTTTTTTCAATGTGGAAACACGTCTTTACGAACTTCAAATAGCTGTATAAGAAAAACATAAATAATAACATACCCATCGTTCAATGTCTCTGGACATTCCAGGCCAGTAAAAACGCTGGGATATGGCATCCCTAGTTTTTAATTGCCCACAGTGTGCTCCAATGCCACTGCTGTGGAACTGTATGAAAAGTTCATCAGCCTCTTCTGCGCCACGAACAACTTTGGCCCTGACTTCTTCGTCAGAGCCCTTGTTTCTGGTGTAGTACAAGTCTCCATCTAAAATACATTCGGAATTATACGTATATTAATAAACATATGAAGACTGCTGTATTTACTGTTGTACTATTTACATTTACTTCACATGTATTAAGGCCACTTAAAATTAATAAATTGTTTTACATGGCCGAACGCCTCAATTTTTTTGGTGACGGCTCGATTTTTTTAATATTTTATATTTTTCAAAAAATCGGTTTTTTTTACCTCAAAAACTGTGGGTGAAAAATCTTTTATGTCAGCCTCGGATTTTTCAATTTGACGCTTCTCGGACAATGGTTTTTATCGTTTGTCAGATTGTGTGTGGGCCCACGGTATTAAAAAGAACTTTTCTAGTTTTAGTATATCTCTGTTGCCGTTCGTCTTTTCGCTAAAAATATAAAATAGAAAATAGAAAATCCCCTACTCACCAATATTTTAGAAGTTTGAGTCATGTAAAACAATTTATTAATTTTAAGTGGCCTAATGTCTGGAAGTCATGTTTATTAGATGTTTCTTGCAAAAAATAACTTACCGATTATGGAGAAATTAGAAGATCTTCTTCGTAAGCTGTATCTCTGATGCTTGCTGAAATTTTTCGGATATTCTCCTTTAATTAATAAGTCAAATATTTCTTTGACTAATTGGGGATCCATGATTTCGAAACAGCGATAGGCCTACGGTATTACGTCATACGTCGTCATACGTCATTCGCGTTACGTCGAACTCGACTTTTTTTGCAAAAAATACAGAAAAATACAAATCGTCTTCTTTCGGTTTCAACCTTACGTCAGCCAGGGAATGCTAAAATATGTAAACTAATATATTTTAATGTTTGCAATCAAATAAAAGCTTATAAATGTAAAAGTATTGTCTTTTTTTAATTGGTGTTTCGAGCCAATAGGGGTTTTTCGTATCAAGTCGTTTGTCGAAGTTGTGCCTTCTGGAACCAATTACTGACGTAGGGTGAGGTATAACTGTATTTCACCTTGACGTGATTAGCATACAACTGTCGCGTAAACAGTAAAATTGACCCTGTTATTTTACCTGACTCTAACTCTGATTGTGACATCTAGGTAAAGCAACGCAGAACCTGGAGCTGGAGTCTAAATACAACCAGGATTCAGATCCAGACAGTGCTCGTTGCGTAGACTTCTTTTCATTCACAAGGTCTTATTGATTCAGTGTATTTGTCTCCTGGTTTTGGATTTTTTCTTCTGGTTTTAATTTCTGGCAAATTCGTTGGATTGTGCTGTGGATTATATATATATATATATATATATAAAATAAATCATGCAAAAACATATTGGATCAAGCAAATCTTTTTCAGGTGACGACTTTGAGCATGAACATTTCATAATCTGAATAATTTTTAAGGTTGA